GTTCGTTTGTCACGCATGACAAACGAACCCCAAAGGACGTCTGCGGGGAGGCTATGTTTGCATAGCCTGATATAAACACGAGAGGGTTTGGGAGAATTCGAGACAGTTATGCAAACCCGAGACGAAGTCGAGGGTTTGCATAACCGTCGAGAATTCTCCCAACGCCTCGAGTGTTTATATCAGGCTATGCAAACACAGGAAAAAAGTTTTCTATTGCTTTTATAAAATGACTTTCCCTAGAAAAAAACGCAAAACTCTTTGTATGGCACTGATTAAAAGAGAAATTCTTACCAGTCGCAAAATCTTGTCCACGAAGTCTTGCACGCGTAATGAGTTCTTGTTTTGCAAAAAGATGCTTTGCAAAATACGGAGTTTTCTCGCTTAAAATGTCAGCTTAAGCGAAGAAAAATTGACTCACCTTCTTTGTAACGATTTTCCATGTTTCAGCCAACGAAGTTTATAAAAAGTTTTGCCAACTGACCACCATGAAAATCCTGTTATAGCCCTGTTGCGAAACAGTTTCTCGCAAAACAAAAATGACTGGTACAGTTACGTACACTTCAAAAAACGACAGCGACATTTGCAGCTGTAGATTAGGCGACAACGGTCTCCTAGAGCAAGCGACATTGCGACACAGCTACCTCCCTTGGAAGGCCTCATTAGCAGTAAGAGAAAAATACCAGGCTCAGCAGATTCTGTATCGACAGTTGTTGTATTCTGTGAATGAAACCCTCAGTATGTTAGGGACACAACAGTAAATTTCGCTTTTAATTCGATTTCATTCCTGTTGAACATCTCCTTTGTTTTGTTTGATATGTCCTCTTGAAATATTTACAGTTGAGGTTGTATGTTATCAAAAGCCGTTTTCATCCACAGCCACATTAATTTGGCTTATAAAACTGCATTCATAATTCGCAACCTCAGATCTCGCACAATTACAGCCGCACAAGCGAAAGATGCAGTCCGTGCTCAATCTGTAACACAGTTGGAACAACATACTTTTTACTTCCAAAATTTACTGTGGGTTGATGCAGTGTGGTCCTTCGTGGAATTAGTAAAAAGCTCCAAAGCATTGCACAAATGAGTTAACCAGTAAAGTAAAGTAACTAAAGAGCTTGATTTTCAATATTTATTTACCCGCTGTCGAGGGCCGGGACTGGGTTGTTCGTGATAAAACTTATGATATGCAGCCAACTGTCAAGATTACAAGTAAACTTGAAGACGTCGCATGAGTGTATCACCTTTTTCTTTTAGTTATTTGGCTTTAAGCGGATATTTTTAAGCCGATAGAAGTTAGATAACTCTTCCACGCTGGCTACCGCCATCGTTGCCAGCAATTCAAATTGCGCTTCTGTGACTCCGCATGTGAAGTATGATCATGGCTCTGCTCTGATTGGATAGTACTGATCGTGAAGGCGTGAAAAATATTCCGCAAAAGCTATTTCTGTAAATAATTTTTCGTCGGAAAGGGTTGACTCCAAGGGTTTATATGGGAGATGAAGGCTCCGAGTCATCGGCTCCTGGTTTTACCCAAATTTTTAAAGCTTTGTATGGAGACGCCATGTTTGTGTCCCTTTCAGGGGCACAAATATGGCCGCCGGAAACCAACAGAAACATCTGTTTTTGAGTTTTCTGACCTATTCGTGAATTCTTCGCTAGAGGAACTCATAAAGATTAAAGTAATATTCATTCTAAGTCAAGAAATGTTTAAATAGCAATAATCAAACCATAAGAGCTTTCCTGGCCGCTAGCTAAATGCCGCGTCACGCAAAAGCCTGGAAATTCAAGCGTCCTGTATCGCAAAACTAAGAACCCTTTTTTACCGAAAATTTGTTTGTAGAAAGGTTTTAAGGTGCTCTAATATCACATGAAAGTAGAAACTCAGAAGAAGCAATAGTTTCTTAGTTTGATTTTGGTGACGTCATGTGAAAACCAAAAATAGAAATCGATAGTTCATAGTACAAAGGAATGTCACAATCCAAAAACAACATTAGAAAGTTACCCTTGCATTTTTTAGAGATCACTGTGCTTTAGTGAACAGCCATTTCTCCAACCATGAATTTAAAAAAAATCAATTTTTTCCACATCTCCACGGGCCATTTAATAGCCACACCCCCTCTGGATGAGGTGAGTTGACTATACCCCTAAGAAAAAATAAGTTCAAAAGTGCCAACACAGTACCCCCAACCCCTCAGAAATAGCCCTTTTTTTGCTCCAAACCCCTCAGAAATATCCCAAATATCAATGAGACCAAATCTCATCCATAGGGAGGGGGGTTGTGGCTTTTAAATAGAATGACCCCACAAATTAAATGGCTACATGACAACTTCTGCTTCTGCTTTTTTGCTGTTGTTGTTAGCTTTTTCTTTGCAAAAAACACTGAAACAGGGTATTTATCAGCAGTGATAACTGTCCATGGTTTTGTGGTGATATATGTTGCAGATGACACCTGTGAGATCTTTGGAATGTTTTACATCATATATAATTCTAAGTATTAATGTTTTATTATTTATTCAAAAATATTTCGTCCAAGCTGAAGACATCCTTACTTAACTTAGTCAAAGATGAGGAGCTACAGGAAGCTGCTCAGTAGTTGGCTTGGCATTAGCGTGGCATTGACGTGGCGTTGGCGTGGTGTTGACATTTGTTAAGGTTTTATTGGCGTGCTTTGGCGAGCTGGCAGTTATCCTAGGCTCTTTTGTTTTTACCAGGATTCACGTTTCTGTTCGAGGTCTATTCCAGGCAGGGCTTCTGACAGGTTGCGGAAGAAAAAGTCAGATTTCGCGGGATTTTTAGGGACAAATTCGCGGAAAAATCGGCTAATTTTGCGGGAGTTTTGGGGGCAAACTTCACCAAAAAGCAATCGGTAAAAAATGGCCGATTTTGTGGTTATTTTCAAGGCAAATTTCGCTAGAAATCAATCGGTTTTGCGCTGATCAGACCAGCTTTTTTAACGTTTTTATAACAGAGGTCATTATTAGCTCTTTCAATAACAATATGCTCCAAAAATGAACCAATGGCAAAGCCTTTAATAGCATGGCTAGTGCCCAGTTTTTTTTTTAGGGGTTGGCAGCTCCATTCCCTAGGTTCTACCTGTAGGTGCCTAACCTCCATGTGCGAGTCAGGTGTTAATCTACCCATAACGTAAGAAATCTTCCACCATTTACTCTTGGTCTCTATCACTAAAACAGCCAAACCATCACTCTGCTTCTTTGCTTAATTTCTGTGCATCCTTTTCCAGTTTGGAGGTGGGTCTGACAGAATGGTTAACACCTTGAACTCCAGATCTGGAGGACCAGGGTTCAATCCTCGCCTGTCAAATTGATTCCTTGGACATGGAACCTTACTCCACTGTCTTTGTCGCTCTTCACACAGGTGTATTAATCGATACTGCCAACACACACTGCCAGAAGGTAACCATGTGATGAACTATCATCCCATTAAGGGGGAAGTAGCATGCTTTACGCCAGGAGCCCATCAAATGGAGCCTCCATCTCCCATACAAGCCCTTGGAGTCAACCCTTTCCCCTGTAGATTTATAATTAGAACGGTTCCCAGGGGAGACTCTCATGGTGATACAAGTCAGTTGTAAAGGAAGACTGCAATTTCTCAAATTTCGGAACTGAAGCATTCCTAGTTAGTTGCTACTTAGGTCATCGCTTTTGCAAGCGGTGCTTAACTGGCAAAATCCACTCCACGGTAATGACAAAAATCAAATGATCCTGGCACTTTTTCGGCGCTGATCATCGAAAAGTTCCAAATCGTCCACAGAACGCTTAATCGTCGACTCTTTTCAAGGTGCATGCTTAAATGTGGGATGTATGACGGCAAAANCTCGCCTGTCAAATTGATTCCTTGGACATGGAACCTTACTCCACTGTCTTTGTCGCTCTTCACACAGGTGTATTAATCGATACTGCCAACACACACTGCCAGAAGGTAACCATGTGATGAACTATCATCCCATTAAGGGGGAAGTAGCATGCTTTACGCCAGGAGCCCATCAAATGGAGCCTCCATCTCCCATACAAGCCCTTGGAGTCAACCCTTTCCCCTGTAGATTTATAATTAGAACGGTTCCCAGGGGAGACTCTCATGGTGATACAAGTCAGTTGTAAAGGAAGACTGCAATTTCTCAAATTTCGGAACTGAAGCATTCCTAGTTAGTTGCTACTTAGGTCATCGCTTTTGCAAGCGGTGCTTAACTGGCAAAATCCACTCCACGGTAATGACAAAAATCAAATGATCCTGGCACTTTTTCGGCGCTGATCATCGAAAAGTTCCAAATCGTCCACAGAACGCTTAATCGTCGACTCTTTTCAAGGTGCATGCTTAAATGTGGGATGTATGACGGCAAAAAAAAACATTCGCAAAGATAACCTTTCCGTGATCCTCAGTTGGCTGCCTTTGTCCCATCGCTTCATGCTCAGTCTCGGGTAATTCATTAACTTTTATTTCATGACACCCAAATCCCAGCGGCTGTAAAATTGTAAAAATGGACGTATAGTAAAAAAGGGAAACGGTCGAAGGACTGGCTTCTGAGTTCGACTTCATCCAACTTCATTTTTTTCACAGTGACATACAAGACTCACAAAAATATGACACTTTTCACGGGAAAAAAGCCGTTCTATTTATAAATCTACTCGGGCAAGGGTTGACTCAAGAAATTAATGGAGATGAAGACTCCATTTGATGGGCTCCTGTTTATGCTAAGGAAACCGGGAGAAATTCCAGCCCTTTTGGGCCTTTGGCTTGTGTGCGCCTTTAATCTTTTTTACCTTTTCCAGTCTGAGACTTTACTTTTGACATCAGCCTTTAAATCAAAGCAATCCTCTTTCAACTTTGGGGAATAACCAGCTGGCGTCAGAAAAGAAATACTCAGGCATGGAGAAATATTTTAAATGTACACCCTGTAGCCATAATATATTGAATTACCGGTACATCAAAAGTTTCCGTCACAAAATGTGTCTTTCTTCAAAAGGAAAGTACAGCTGTACAGTATGGAGTGGCAAGATGCTGTGGATCTATCCCGGTTTATTGTGAGTGCGGCACCTTTTGGTGGTTCAATAGGTAAGTACATAATTAGACTCCTTCTAAGTGTTTTTTAACCCACAGGGTGTACAGAAAGGATTTCATCTACTTGCATTAACTTATGGTAAATAGCACCCCCCCCCCCACCAAGGGTGAAAGTTTACATGTAACCCTATAAACCCTGACATTAAAATTTGAATTCTCATTTGTTGCCCCTATTCATTTCTTACAGAAGTTGTGGGGAGAAGTTGATAAAATATCAAGCAAATTCATCTTGT